AAACAGATCTTTTCAGTCCCTCATCTGTAAGTAGTAAAAAACCAAAACACTACCACCACCACCAAAACCCACCAAAAGCTTTCTTTCTCTTTAATTACAGGGGTACCTATGTTTGAACACTGGCTTAGTTCTGGCTTTAGAGGCTGTACAACAAAAACATTTTGCATGTTTAAGGCTAGTATGTAATCTAACAAGGTGTATTTGTTATAAGAAAGCTAAAAAAGTAATATTCCATTTGGCTTGGCTCACTAACCAGTTCCCCAAGCTGCAAGCACTAGCAGAAAGTTCTTCAGTATTGGGAGCTTCTCCAAAAGCATATAAAAAAAATGTAGCTGCAGACATATTCCACTTTGGTTATACTTACCTCTCTTTAGAGTAGATTGAGCAGTGTGGATTGTGTAGCTCTCTAGCTGAACATATGGGAGATTTCATGTTCAGTACTCCTTGAGTGAGGAAGTGGCTTCACCACATTATTCCAGTTTGGACATTGAAGCCCCTGGTGGAAATTCTGGACCAATTCCAGAATTCTGACTTTAGACTTCTAGCATTTGACAGAAAGAGATCTCAGTATGAATCCCTGGTCTCAGCTCTAAAGAACTGTTGAGTAACAACACATGGCTGTTCTGAAAGATACTTCATCTTGTACTAGGATAACTGTTAAGACAGCTTAGAGCCTTCTTCTCTTTTTAAAGCAGTACAATTAATGTGGTTTTTATGGGGACTTTGAGGTATTCTTTCCAGGTGTTTGTAACATGAACTACCAGAGAAACCATAGTAATCTGGTAAAACCTGGAAATCCACTAACAGCTTATTTCTCTTTCTTTAAAAGGATTCTCAGAAACTTTCTGATCCTTTTGGGGATAATTTTGGCAACCCATTTGCATAGGTCAGGTAAGTCTTCCACTGATAAAACAACCTACATCATTCTCTGAAACTGACTGAGGAAATCTTTGGTAAAGAGCTGACTAAAAACTACAGTACTTTAACGTTAATACTCTCTGAAGGATGGCAAACAGTCCCTAAAAGAACAAGTCTGTTAGAGTACCTCTACTCAGATTTGTACACGGCTGCATTCTGTCTAAGCCTAGCCGGCTTTGCTTTCTTAGAAATAAAGACTTTATTCTTCCACAGACGTAAATCTCAATGCCACAGTAGATCTAGATTTCGTTTCCTTGAGGAAAGTTAATGAGTGAATATGTGTTGCAGAACTCAAAGGGGCTGACTTAATATCTTCAGATATCTGTAGGAGCATGTTAGCATACAGTGCCCCATAAATCTTTTTGAAGTTCAATCACCTAAATAATTGCAGCTTTGGACTCCTGGTGAATTGGAGTAAAATTAGAATAAGTCTTTATAGCCTTACTCTGATTTTAATCAAAAACTGTTATAAGAGCTTTTGTTACTAGAAACTAACGTAATTCTAACTTTTATACCATTGACTAGAGAACATGAACTATTGATCCAGCAAATCTATTCCTCTTCCATACTCTGTCTTCCCCTGAAATCCTGGCTAGCTTTTGACACAAGACAAGTGCTGGTATTTATTGCTTTAATTTTGTTCTCAGTGGCTCCAAGCTAGTTTAAGGAATAAAGTTATAGTTTACAGCCATTCTAACGCTAATTCCTTTCTATCATACTAGGTGTAACCATAAAAGGACAAATGGAATAACTGGACCTCTTCTCAACATGATTTTTCTACATGTTTCACTTTGCTGTCTGTCACTCTTGCTGCTGTTCCATGATGTCTGCAATCTAAAGCATATCCAGGGGGATTGAAGCATGAACACTCAAAGAACATGCTGTGAAGATGATAATTCAGGGCGAAGCAAATGGGGATATTGACTCACGCTGGAAACCCAAATTCGTATTGGTGGATGTTAACTTTACTTTAGTTCTTTGCAAACTTCTGTAGAAGAGCTTAGCAGAACTAAGTCATGTGTCTTGTAAATATGATAATTTTTCTTTTATGTAGCACTTACTGTCCCAAAATGTAGGAATTTAACATACCTGGGGAAGAGGTGTTACCTGCACCTAAGGATGCTGAATTAGTAGCTAAACTCCACACCTTAAACAGCTGCGTCTTTTGCCTATTATCACAGCAGAAGCCAGTTTTAAAGTTAAGTGGATGCTACTCAGTTCTGATTGGTGACTGGACACATTACTTGGCCTCTTAGCCACAAAAATTTAACTCTATGTAGAGGAAAAGAGTCTAATACTAGTCTATTTCACTAGAAGTAAAATTATCATTCTGCCATAAATGTTTAATAAAGGGACTGCGGGGTCTGTAACAGCACTGCTGAAGCCCTGAGTATAAAGGCCTACACTGTAGAGTCAGATAAGCAGAAAAACTTCTTGCAGAACTTTGAGGTAGTTGTGGACACTAACAGTTGTCTTGGTGCTAATATGGCATTTTTCAGGGAGGGAAATCTACTAAGAATACTTCACTATTAAGGATGGCTTGGCAGACAAATGGAACAAGCAGGTAGGCTTCTTGCTTATGTCTCAGTGAATGTTGCTGATGTAGCTCAGTTTGAGTTGTCGCATGGCGTAGCATAGCACGTTTCCATTATGTTAGAAAGCAAAAAGACAATAATGGCTTCACTCCATGCCCAGACTCCTTGAGAATGGATGCACAACCTCTTGCCATTAATGTGAGTTAGTACTCTTGAAAAACATGTCTTTCCTCAAGAACCTCTTTACTAACAGATTTTTAAATCAGTTAGTTACAACTGACTGTAACAGCTACATTCTTGGCCAGTGGTGATAACTGATGTATCGGAGGTTTTTCTGTTAATAGTAAGTATAAACTTGAAGTGGTATTGTTAAATCAAATGCCTAAGCAGTTGCTGAACTGCTAAGAAAGCTAAGAAAGTCAACTTGAATACAGCCTTAGTACTGAATTCAGCCATTTACTCAAATTACTCTTGTATATAAACCTCTCTTGCACTTTCTGCAATGCAAAAATTAAAAAAAAAAAAAAAAAAAAGAAGGCACAAATTTAGTATTTGTCTCAAACTGGAAATATAGAAACTTATGGATGTTACACTGTTATATAAACTGCAGTATCTCAAGTGATGTTACTTAATGACATTAAACAGAAGCAACTCTTCATACCAAACGAACGTGTGGCTGTTTATTCTGTCCTCTGTAGATCAGTTTTGTGGTGTATTTGACACTAGAAGTTCAGAACCTGCTAAGAATTTTTCCTCACAGGTTTGAGAGCTGTCTGATGGCAGTGTCTTTCTCTTACTTCCTGCACTGGACCTGATTGACAATGTCATGCCACATTAAAAAATGAAATCTCCAACTGACTTAGTAAACTGTCACTAGAATCTTGTCCCGTTAACTACTCAGCCTGAGCAGGCACCTACTGAAGATGCTTTCTTGCTCCTTTTTTTAGGACCGTGGAAGCTGGATACTTAAATTGTATTGCATTCAGAAGTTTCATTAATTCAGCTTGTGTTACCCAACTTTGCAGGAGAACTAAACTGATGGTGGGAAATTTTAATTAGAACATGTAGCTTATGCTCAAATTTTATACAACTCCTTTAATAGAGATGGTGATAAAAAGATAAATCTACTAGGAAGCCTCCATTTTAGACTACCTTGCTTATTTTTAATGCTGTTTGATGGTTAAGGGTTGAAAACAACTCACTACAAAGCAGTTGGTGTCCAGCTTGAAATATAGGTCTCAGGAGGTTTTGCACAGAATCAGACTTTTAATTATTATCATTTTTTTCCTTGACTGCAAGGCAACATGTAACTTAGTACCATTAGAAATAAAAAGATTATTGATTGTCTTGGTGTCTGTGTGAAGGAGCATGTTTACCAGCAGTTGAGTTAAAGTTCTAAATCACTGTTTGCTGGTCAAGGAAAAGTTTACAGTCCTACTACGCTGGAATTCTGAAATGGCTGCCAGGATGATCACTCAGAACTTGTTAGCAGGACAAGCTGGCCAAAGATGCTTGCTGGTCTGCTAGCTTACTTTGAGTAGCTGTTTACCCTGAATCTCTGCCTTAAAGAACTGTGAAAGCAGGTATGATGAAGCAATACAGCATTACAAGTGTCTATGTCTTGCATTCTTGCCTAACAAATGAGTTAAGTGCAACTGGGCTCATCAAGCTGGACTGGAGCCGCAGCAGATTTAAGTTCCTTTAAGTGAAATTGTTCCAAATTAAGGTTTGAATAGGGAAAAAAATTGCCCTGCCCTATCTCACACACTTCCTCCTCCCCGTCACAAAATGCAGAGAACAGGAAATATTAAAAGCACACTTTTTTTTTTTTTTTTTTAGCTACTCATGATAATTTGGAATATCCTTACACTGGTTGATTGTTTTAAGCTTGCATCCGGATACTCAGTTCTTAACAACTAAACAGCAGGTTATTTATGAGTGACTTGTGTCTTGTGACTGTGTCCAACACATGATGCCTTAAATCTGGATTACAGCAAAGTACTCATAAAGAATGCCCTTCTAAAGAGCTAGCTTGTGGTTTGGATGTTGGTGACAGAGTAAAAGCTAGAAGAGTTTTAGTCTCCTTCAAAACCACAAAAAATTGTGTGTTGTTCTTTTGTATTGGCTAGGGGGGGAAATGAAAAAAGAATCTTGGGACTTTAATCCTCCATTACTCCAAATGAGGATTCCAAAGATGTTAGACAGTGAACTTGTTCTTGTAAACAGCTCTGCTTTAGGAACTGTTTGTTCCTTATGTGAGTCACTGCAATGACAGCTTTTTTACTAAGCAGTTAATGGTTCTCTAATTCAATACATAATGTCTTTTCTATATTAGAAAGATACTATTAAACAAAATTGGTTTATTTTTAATCTTGAAACTACTCCACAGTATTTTCCAGTCCCCATTCAGAGGAAAAAGTGGAATTTTCTGAAAAGTGGACTTTAGAGCATTTACCGTTAGGCAGTTTTGACCCATTACTGGCATTCTTCGGTAAACACTGTTTTTTGTTTGTTCTCTTGGTAATAAGTAACAAAAGGAACAAATAAATGAATTACAAGTTTAATCATGGCTATTTTAGTCTATTCAGCTACAAAATGAGAATCACGAGTGTTATCCTGCAGCTTATACCCATACTATGCAGTTTAGGGATGGTTACCTCACTTCTGGAGGAAAGCAGAAGGTAAGTGTTCTTTGTCTTCTGCAACTGTCTCTACTGTTTTGTTTCTCTTAACACAGAGTATAAACATCCAATGCAGACATTTCTTATGGCATCTTGCTTAGATATCCTATGGAAAGACAAACTCCTTCTTGCTGTATTTCAAGGAGTCAAATAGCAATGCTGTATCCATTTATTTTGGATGTGTGTGACACAATAAAGATAACTGATAGCAATTGAAGCCATATTCTTGCAGGGTGGTGAAGCTCAGGCACCTGTTTTCTATTGCACACTGAATGTTAAAGTACTTAATCTATTTCTTTCTGAAGACACACAATTTTATGCTAACAGTACTTGTCTCACTATTTAAAGTCTGCCTGTGCCTAATCTTTGAAAATATAGCCTTTTTCCTTTCACTGCAAGTATCACTAGGAAGTGAACAAAGCCTTAATCCCTACAAAATTATCATGTGGAAACAAATAAATCGCTACTCTGTCAGAAATATCTATATGTCATTTATAAGAATGGCCAATAGTAAGTGATGAAAAAATTGTAAGTCTCATGTTGGAGCAAGTCCAGAGGGCCACAAAGTTGATAAGAGGACTGGAGCACCTGCCCTACAAAGACAGACTAAGAAAGTTGGGGTTGTTCAGCCTGAAGAAGAGAAGGTTGCAGAGAGACTTCAGAGCAACATTCCAGTGTCTGAAGGGGGTCTACAGGGAAGCTGGAGAGGGACTCCTCAGCAGGAAATGTAGTGGTAAGACAAGGAGTAATGGGTACACACTGAAAGAGGGGAAATTTAGGCTAGGGACCTTATAGATCATCTAGTCCTAACCACCCCTGTCATGTGCAGGGACACCTCCCACTAGATCAGGTTGCTCAGAGTTCTGTGCACCCTGGCCTTAACATCTCAAGGGATGGGACATCCTCAGCCTCCCTGGGCAACCTCTTGCAGTGTCTCACCACCCCCACAGTAAGAAGTTTTTCTGAACATCTAGTATAAACCTACTCTCTTTTGATCCATTCCCCCTTGTCCTGTCACTACATACTCTTGTAAAAAGTCCCTCTCCGTCTTTCTTGTAGGCTCCCTTGAGATACTGGAAGGTCACAATTAGGTCACCCCTAAACTGTCTTTTTTCTAGGTTGAACTGTCCCAATTCTCTCAGCCTTTCCTCAGAGGAGAGGTGCTCCATCCCTCTAATTATCTTGGTGGCTTCTGCACTTGCTCCAACAGGTCCATATCCTTCCTGTGCTGAGGACCCCACAGCTGGATGCAGCGCTCCAGGTGGGGTCTCATCAAAGCAGAACAGAGTGGCAGAACCCTCTCCTTCACCTGGTTCCCATGCTGCTTTGGATGTGCCCAGGACATTTGATTTTCTGGGCTGTGAGTACACATTGCCAGTTCACGTCCAGCCTCTTATCCACCAGCACCCCCAAATCCTTCTCTCCAGGGCTGCTCTCAGTCTGTTCATCCCACAGCCTGTGTTGATATTGGGGGTTACCTTGACCCAGGTGCAGTATCTTGTACTTGGTCTTGTTGAACTCATGAGATTTCCATGGACCCACTTGTCAAGCTTGTTCAGGTCCCTCTGGGTAGGACCCCATCCTTCAGGTGTGACAGCAGTACTGCTCAGCCTGGTGTCATCTGAAAACTTGCTGAGGGTACACTTGATCCCGCTGTGTCCTAATGAATATATTAAATATATATAAATATAATAAATATATACAATGAACATGTTAAATATGAACATGTATGGACCCCTGAGGACACCACTTCTCACTGATGTCCATTGGGACCCTGAGCCACTGACCACATCCCTCTGGATGCAACTGTCCCAACTACTTTCTTATCCATCTAACAGTCCACCCATTGAAACCATCTCTCTTCAAATTAGAGAGAAGGATATTGTGGAGGACTGTCGCAGGACTTTAGAGAAAGCAGGATATATACAGCCTTGTCCACTGATGTAGTCACCCCCCACAGAAGGCCACTACATTGGTCAGACACTTGCTTCTTATGTTTTGATGGTTATTATTTTGGCATTCATTCCAATAAAAGTACAGGACTGAAATGTTCATTTATAAACAGTCCTGCCAGAAGATACAATCATTACAGGGAATCCATAGCAGGCATCTTTGGCCAGCAGCTTGGCTTCCTAGTGTACCAAAAACTACAGCTTGATGATGGTGCTAGCAACTACAGTGGGCAAAGGTTATGTCCTCATGTGATGCTATCATGTCTCTAAATTCAAGAGAGCCATGCCTCCTCTCTTAGCCAGTGATAATTAAGAAACCAAGGGTTGTTCTTGAGTCTTCACTTTTGCAGCTGATGAACTCAACAGTCCTCTATTTTGAAGTATGGCTCAACAATAAATCACCAGAACTCTGTGGCCTGAGCCTGTATAGAGCATATTGTGCAAACCAAGACAAGGTGCAAACAATTCTGTGTTCTGATTGTGAAATGGCTTTTGCTTTCCAAAGAGTACCCTCCTATCTCTCAAACCTCTCAATAAAGGATCACAGGGAACTTATTTTGATTTCCGTGCTTGTCAGCAAAGTTCTTGCTTTCAGCTGTCACCTTCAGTGAAGTTCAGAAATATGCTTCACTATAAACTTCTCTAGCACCTGAATACTTGATAATCACTAGCAACAAGATGTATATCTCTCTTTAGAAATCCTCTGAGACATCTCAATATATCTCTAAGGAACCTGTCAGTCTTCACCCTGAGGTGTCAGAATATACACTGTTACTCAGAGATTTACAGTCCTACATCAGTAAGGGAATGAAAAGGTCATATGTGCAGGCATCTTGCACATATACAAAGGAACAGGCTGATTCTCAATCATTTGCTAGAGCAGTAGATTCTAATTTATTTCCACTGTTGATGTTACTGTCTGTTAAGTGGTGGGAAACTATTTCATAGAATACTGTACAGCAACTTTTCAAGCATTACTTGCTTATTACGAACTATCTGTAAGATGAGCAAATTACAGATGAAAGTTGTTTTTGAAGAGGCTGGAGAGCTACGTCAAATTTTGAGTACACCAGAATTTCGTAGAACTGCAGAATACTTTGAAAAGTCTAGGTTGAAAGGTACTCCTGGAGGTCTTATACAATGGTCTGTTCAAAACAGGGCTTTAGATTAGGTTATCCAGGGATCCTGTCAAACAGTGTTAATGCTTCCAGGGTAACCTGTTCCCTGCATTTCCCTGGGTAACCTATTTCAATGTTTAATAGTTATAATCACAGCTGTTAGGTTTACTTTAATAGTCAGATGACATTTCCCCTGAAGCAACTTCTGCATTGTCCCTCTATCTTCTATATAACTACCTTCTAGATCTTAGACTTTCCTAGAGAATTTTCTAAGAGATGCTGTACACAATTTTTCTTTATTACTTTTGAGTTATAGACCTTATATAACATAGGTAAGGGCAACTAAAGTGGAATTACAATTTCAAAAATCTTTATCAGTTCCCAGGCGGAAATATCATTCTGATCTATGTAAGCACGCATGCTTAGTCAGTGTTTGACATACACACACCTTGCAGTAAACCTCAACAGCTGGAGAAAAAAAGCTGACCCCTAACTGCTCATGAGAAGGAAGAAGAAAGGACTCAAATTAAAAGTGCCATATTGAATCTAATCACAGTCTTCCTGTGTCAGGGCAAAGAGATAGAATCATAGAAGCATAGAATCAAAGAAGTTGGAAAAGACCTCTGAGATCATCAAGTCCAACCCTTGATCCAACACCGCTGTGGTTACTAGACCATGGCACTTAGTGCCACATCCAGTCTCATCTTTAAAACCTCCAGGGACGGAGAATCCACCATCTCCCTGGGCAGCCTAAGCCAATGTCTGATTACTCTCTCCATAAAAAATTTCTTCCTGATATCCAACCTAAACCTCCCCTGTAAACCGCCCCTGGCAGAGCTGAAGACTGTGCCCTCTTGTCCTATTGATGGTTGCCTGGGAGAAGAGACCAACTCCTACCTGGCTACAATCTCCTTTCAGGTAGGTGTAGAGAGTGATGAGGTCACCCCCGAGCCTTCTCTTCTCCAGACTAAACAACCCCAGCTCCCTCAGCCTCTCCTCATAGGACTTGTGCTCAAGTCCCTTCACCAGCCTCGTTGCTCTTCTCTGGACCCGCTCCAGCACCTCAATGTCCTTCCTGAACTGAGGGGCCCAGGACTGGACACAGCACTCCAGGTGTGGCCTCACCAACGCAGAGTACAGGGGAAGGATCACTTCCCTGCTCCTGCTGCCACACTGTTCTTGATGCAGGCCCGGATGCCATTGGCCTTCTTGGCCACCTGGGCACACTGCTGGCTCATGTTCAGCCTCCTGTCCATCCAAACTCCCAGGTCCCTTTCTGCCTGGCTGCTCTCCAGCCACTCTGTGCCCAGCCTGTAGCGCTGCAGGGGGTTGTTGTGGCCAAAGTGCAGGACCCGGCACTTGGCCTTGTTGAACTTCATTCCATTGGAATCAGCCCAACTCTCCAGTCTATCCTGGTCCCTCTGAAGAGCCCTCCTGCCTTCCAGTAGATTACTCCATACCTAACAGTGATCATTAATGGATGCAAAGAGAGAAATGTAAGAACAAGGCAGATGTTCAAAGCCGTCTACCTCATTACCAGCACTTCCAGCTGCCAACCAGTGGATTATGGATTTTGGTGCACAGAGTCCAGCAGAGAATTAGTGAAAGGGAATTCTGTATAAAATGGACTTCTCACAAGTTTAGTTCTATATCTTTATCAATCACCCCAATTCCTGGTGCCATGGACAAAGCAAAGCTTCATGCTTCCCTACCAGATAAGAATTTGGAAGGTCCCTATTGTATGGAGAGAATTCTTCATTCTTTGTCTCATTTTTCCTGGGTATAGAGATTGGGCATATTTGTGCTCTTCCCTTTTTTACTTTTTTTCCAGAATACCACCTATTAAAAGCAATATCCTTAGCCAAGGACTCTTTTCCTGCAGGTCCTGAATTGAGGTCAGGGGACTTTTGGGAAGAAGCTGTTTAGGAGCAGCAAGCAAGGCAGGTGGGAGTGTGTGATACAGACACTTCCAACAGTAGCTGTGGTGCATATTTACTGCATGTGTGTGTGACAGCAGAAAGTCTGAGGCATCAGAGCCGGTCAGGGTCAGCTGATTATATAAAAGGTTGCACAGCAACCCTGTGATCCCTGAACTGTTCAAGATTCAATAGCTAGAAAGAGGTTGATTTATCATCTCAATAACAACTTACTGCTTTTTTTAAACTGAACACAGAATAAATGGCACAAGAAAGTTGGAACAACTGTTATATCTTTCTTGTCCAAACTGCAGATTTCTCAGTCTAATGGAATCAGGTTATATTTATTTAGATTCCTGACATGTTTGTACAATCTGAGGGGGTCAAAGAGCAGAGGGTAAGGCCCTGCCTGCAATGCAAACCCATACATACGTCACACTGGAGGAGCTGCAACCTGCTAGGCTCAGCAAAGAAAGTCCCAGTGTAGAGCAGAGACAACAGCATTAACCTGGAGAGATGCAGAGAGGGTGAATGAACATGGAAGCATGTAAGGCTAAATTGGAATAAATTACTCAGAGCAAACCAAGCAAGTTAGACTTTCATCCTTGATTCCTCTGCTATCTAACATTGTTACATATGAAGATAAGGTCACCAGTAAACTACTGACACTGGTTTTTAAAATTAATAAGTCATTCTACAGTGCATCAGTTTTTAATATCTACCAATGGATGCTTTAAAGAAACTTCATTTCTACTATGGCCTTTCATTTAATGAGAACTGCAAGTTTGATGGTGTTTAAAACTGAAATGTACAAAATGAAGAGTCACTCTAAAAGAAATAGGCCTAACTGCAGAAGTGTTCCACTTGAAAAGCTGAACAACAAAAAGATAAACACTTGTCTGCTTTTTTTCCAGCAATGTAAGTTAGTCTGTTACCAAGTATTTATGAGTTTTCTTTCAACTCAGGAAAACATTTACATTTTTAGCCAGGCCTAAGAGCAATGCCAATAAGGTTAATAAGCTAAAAAAAGTCACAAAGGTTTGCATTGAAGTGTTGCATCTATTCAAGATGTGCTGCTGTGCCTTTGTCTTTAGCTTTGCATATCAGGAAGCAAAGCCACTGAGTGGGGGACTGCAGATGTTCTCTGTGTATTATTGTTTCATTCTCTTAAATAACATGACCCATCGGAAGAGCATTTGTGTGCGCAAAGATATACAAAAGGGGAAAATACCTGGCTTATTAAGTCTTCAAAGTGTTTTTAATGTAATTTTAAACCACCAAGGAATTTAATATTAGGCAACTGTTTATACAACTAAGTACTGCTATGAAAGTGAAACAGAAATCAGCTTGAAGATGCTTCCAAAATATTAGCCCATGGTTTAAATGCAAGCTCACATGTGATTTTAGTGTACTGCCCAGGACTATACTGGAATGTTTTGTTTGACAGCTCTTCAGAAAAAGCTTTCCTTCGGGGAACAAGAGAACTGAATGCTCCATCTCCAATAGATTGTGAACTGAGCAGCTGGAGCTCGTGGGGGTCCTGCGACCCATGCACTTATCAAAGGGTAAGCTGTTGGTGAAAGTCTTTGTTCCAAAACCACAACCAAAGGGATGCTATCTGTCTGGTTATTGGTTATGAGAAAATATCAGATTGCTACTCTTAATATTGTACATTCACGATTTGATAAAACCCATAATCATTTCAGATCTGAAGCCATAGGGATAAAAGAATAATGTACAATTCTGTCAAGAGTTCTCATTCAAAATGTTTTCCTCACACAAATTTTCTCTTCTGGTCTTGCAGATGTTTCTGTTAAAAAGCAGATTTTTATTTTCTTAGGGGAGTTGTTCTTATGAGACTTCAAAAATAAAAGATGTGAAAGCATAAAAATATAAATGATGCACTTCTTTCATGAAGTAAAAAAAAAAAAATTAGTGAAATAAACTAAATAGTGAAAAATAGCATCTCTTGATAGGGGCTGAATATTGATAATTATTAATTCAATATTGTTTTAACCATAAGATGTGCCTGTGGAATTTCAACTAGATATTTCACTGAAAATGCTTCCTTTTGAAAAGTTCTCAAGTTCATGTAGAAACCCTTCAGTTCTGATAAAATTCTTTTTTCTCTGTGGGCAATGTTAATAACGTTATTTGTCTTTCAAGTTTCGATCTAGACGTATTGAAAGATTCGGACAATTTGGTGGAAAACCATGTCTGGAGGCCCTGGGAGACACACAGACCTGTGAAACCAGTGAAATCTGTCCTGTAGAACCAGAAACAGACTGTGGTACTGACTTTCAGTGCAATTCTGGTAAGTCTTGTTTTTGTGCCATATAATGCCTTTACTCAGAAACTACATTTTACTTAGTGCTGTAAGTTAAATCAGTCTCCACTGAAGACAAAATACATACACAAAAAGAGAGATATGCTTCAACGCTTTTCCAAGTGGAGATGATTTCCTGAAGCAAGACCTTATGCTAGCACTTCAAGTCTGTGGGCAGGTAGGTTCAAAGCTACAATGACAGAACCACAGCATGAACAATGCTTAAGACAGGGTACATTCCTCTCATCTTCCATTACAATTTGCATCTAGTTTAAATTCTTCTGTAATTTCTTCTCCATGATGAGAGGCTGACCATACTGTGAGTATCCTTTCTTCTAGCTTAGCTGCTCCACCTGCTACTGAATCACCATGTTTTATGAAAAATCACTGGGGAAAAAAATAAACCTAAGACTGAAAGAATTTTAACAGAATGGATATGGAAGGTTACTGATCTAAGTGTTATGATGGATGCTAGCTGGAGACCAGAATGCATCTAGATTGAAAGTAAGATATAAATTTGTAAAGCGATACATGCGTGGCATATGAATGAATGTAGTGCTCAAGATTTATCAAAAATCAGAACAAAATAGGAAGAGTTAATAGTAATAAATCTAATCAAAAAAGAAATTGAAAGATGGTAAGTCAATTTTGAGTGCCAAGCCATTTTTGGTATTGTTTTAAAATCAGAGTAGTGCAAAGAGAGAAATTAAAAATTGAAAACTAAGTCTTTAGCTACTAGTTCACAGGCATTACTGCCTTTACAGCTGAGGCAGATGATACCAAGAAGTGTTGCTTTATTATTCTGGGGCTAATTTATCTAAATCTTTAGATCCTATAGGGGAAAAAAAATTAATCTTTGTAAAACTTGAGATATACAACCTCAGGAAAATTACTACTTCACTGTTGCTTTAGAACACAAATCACTGTAGTTTTGGACCCTACAGTGGTCATAGTATTCAAATAATATTGTCCAAATTGCAATTATTTAAATAATTTAGAAATAATTTTTTGTTAATTTCCCCATAGTCTCTTAATACAAGAAAAAAAAAAAAACAAACCCAAAACAATCAACATAACCATCAAAGTTTAATATAGAAACAATCTCAGTCTGTAACAACTTTCTTCAGATGACAGCAGTTCTCCTGTGACTTACTTTTCTCAGCCATCCCAGTAATTCCTATGTAAATACAGTAGTATGCAGGGTTTTTTTTTATTTGAAAGTGGCAGAGTGTAGAATTTTAATCCCTACTGACAATAATAGAAATATACATAGAAGAAGATCTCAATAAAGAGTAGATGAGGGTGTCATTTAAAGCCATCTTGACAAAATGCATTCATGCAATATTTTATTCTTTGATTAGGTCGGTGTATAAAGCAACGACTTGTGTGCAATGTAGACAATGACTGTGGAGACTTTTCTGATGAAGATGCCTGTGAATCTGACCCACGATCACCGTGCCGTAACCATGACATTGATGTGTCTGAAGTTGGTAGGACTGCAGGGCAAGGGTATGTAGTGAAGTAAAAAGTAGTATTGGGCCTGGTGAAGAGTTTAGGATTGTCTTGAAAGTTGGCTGAAAGTGCTGGGGCACAGTGACATTCCCAAAAGTGGAATCTGAATAATGTTTGCATTTGTATTCAGAAATGATAAGTAGCTTTTGCAAGAACACTCAACTACCATTTTATTTTGTTTTCTTGTGGAGGATAAAATATTTATGCAGACAGTGTAAATCAATCATAAAATTAATAAACAGAATCATACATAGATATTACATGAATTAACTTAAAATGCATATTATTCCAATTTAAAGTTTCTATTGATATATTTCAAGTGATATTTCATAACAAAACAGTAATTCCCAATTAGTTTACCAAAAAGCATGTCTAAAAGGGAGAAAATTTCTCTTCATTATTTATACAATGGGATGCCCTACTGCAACAATTGTATGTCTGCAGCTTTTTTCCAGCACTGAATTCGCCATTCCTGGGATTTTTGTTGTTTACAGGAGTTTTTATCATTAATCTAAGTTAAAAATTAATCTTTCTGTTCTCAGACTCCACTGCATTTCTTTAGTTTTAAACAAAAAGAAAGCATGACATTGTTTATCTACAGAGTTAGAAGACAGCTATCCAAACTGAACAGATGAAAATAGAAGTGTAGTACAGCACCACCCTGTGTTTAATGAAAAGGATCATCCTTTTAATTTCATTTCTTACCGTCTAAGAGCAAAAATCCTTCTGTTTAAACACTTAGGCAATTTTAGAAGTAATTTTTGTAAACCAAGAACGTAGGCAATTTTAAAAGTAGCTTCTTTATTATTTTTACTACAATCTATTACTAAAATCCCATGAGAAAACCTTGTATAGATATGCAGTGTTGATGCTGGAGACTTTAATGATTTGATTACCACTTTTTACATTCAGATAGGTACAGGCATTTCTCAGATGTATGTGTTGCAAATACTGAAAAGATTCAAATATATGAACCAGGCACAGAAGAGCAAAAAAATCATACTGAATCCTCCAAGGAGCAATTAATTTTGGAAGTATTTCTTTTGCATCAGTATATAGATGCAAAGAGCTTTACAGCCCATGTGCTTTTCTCCCTTGTTTTGTAATGATTCAGATTTCCTTTCTTATGCTGCAGGAAATACTGTTATTTCACCAGGTCACATCCTGCAAGAAGAGACAATACTAGGAGTAGCTTTATATTCCTTCTACAGATTTGATGAGTGTTGTACACAGTTGATAATGGAGCTCCTACCAGCAAACAAACTAAGTTAAGAAAAAAACAAAACAAACCCAGGTTAAATACAGCTTTTGAGATGTACTTTTAAATCTATAAAGAATGCTTTCTCACAAATATGTTGGTCAAGCAGAAATTATTTTTACCTCCTTTTATTCCTAAGGTTCTCACTGTGTTTGATGTTTAACATCTTTTGTTTATTTCTTATACATGGTCCTTAAAGAGTTTTAAAAAAGATATATCCTTATATGCATTACTCAGATGAGAAGACCGCAAGAAATGAGGCAAGCTGCCTGGATGAAGCAAGATTCAGTTTCGTATCTCCAGTCCCCATCTCTTACATAGAATGACATTTCCAACCTTCACACCATTGTCTATAGGTGCTGATACCCTCTCTTTTGTATTTTTCTTGTAGAAGTAATATTTTAGGGATGCAGCCAATGGCCAACCCATTTGACAATGACTTTTTTAATGGTCTTTGTGAAAGAGTGCATGATGGCAACACACGGACTTACTACCGCAAGCCATGGAACGTGGCTGTTCTCACTTACGATGTAAGTTTAAGTCCTGTGCAAAATAAGATGTGTTCAACTGAATGCTGAATCCTGGCATCCTCTTGGAAGACTCAGCATATCTCTTGAGTCAGGCAGCTGCAGCTTTTTAGCATCAAGGTTGAGCTGAAGTCTAGAGGAAAACAAGTTATGTTATCATTTACTTTGGCAGTTAAGCTCAGTTGTGCCAGATAAACTCCCACATGTTCATTGCTGCACCTTTGCACAACAAATGAAATTGTCTGGAATGTTTACAGTATGAGTGGATGAGATGAGCAGAAGTTGTACAGAAAGGATTATGGTACCTAACTTTTACTGGGTAGAGAAGCAATTAAGCTAATTTTTCAAAGGGACTGAAAAAAAAAAAAGCAGGAATAGTATTATGATACTCTGGTCCTACTTAGTTTTCCTCTGTCCCGCTGACAAAAAAAATTTAATAGGCTTTTGAGTTTCAAACTATGACTTCCAGTGAGGCCTGAACACAAAAAATGTTGATTGTTGCAACATTAATGTCAGATGCATTTCAGAAATCAAAGCAGTATTTTGCTTACCAAAAGTTTTGCCTTTCCTGCTAGAAGGAACTTCTTAAAACAAATACAGTTTAAACCAGCTCCTGCCCAAAATGAGTAAATCTGACCCAAGAACATTGCTTATATTTGATTTTGAGGTAGAACCATTTTCAGTTATTAAAATTCTATATTCTGCTAAAGTAAACAACACTGAAATAGGCATTACAAAATTAGTTATTGTCTGCTGTAAGAAAAGAAGGGAAAATCATAATTCTGACTCATTTCAGACGTCAGGACCTATTAGCGGATCTTATCTCCATTCTAGGAAAGAGATGGAGACTATTATTACTTACACAGAATCACAAAATCTTCTGAGTTTGGAAGGGACCCAGAGGGATCGTCGAAGTCAACTCATGGCCCTGCACAGGACCATCCCCAAGAGTCACACCATGTGCCTGACAGGATTGTCCAAATACCTCTTGAACTCTGTCAGGCTTGGTGCTGTGGCCACCTCTGGGGAGCCTGTTCCAGGGCCCAACCGCCCAAGATGCTGGATGAAGCACCTTTTCCTACCATCTGACCTGAACCTCCCCTGACAAAACTTCAGACCATTCTTTCGGGTCTTGTCACTGGTCACCAGAGAGAAGAGATCAGTGCCTGCCCCTCTGCTTCCATGTGAGGAAGCTGCAAACCATGTAAAGGAACTGTTAATTCTCATAAGTTACTTTGACAGTGTTAATGCTGAGATTTAATACTTGCTGAAATATTTTCATTGCAGTTTTCTCTTCACCACTGAATAACCAAACTGATTGAGATGAGGTGGTTTGTGGAGGGAATGGTATTTCTGTTTCCATTTGATTTGTTTTAAAAGAAAAAAGAGCTGTAGGAAAATGTATTGCTAAGCAATGTAAAAGATTTGAAGTGCTACATAGATTTTTCTATTACTGCCTATTTAGTTTTCTCATACAAACTTTCATTACCTTTTCTCAAGCAAAGGCAGACAAAACCTTGGGTTTTTTATTATACAATCTTTTCACTATCTTTTCTCAGACAAAAGCAGACAAAACCTTCACATCGCTATACTACCACGACCGTGCAAAAATGTTTCGAGAGGTCTACGTGGAAAACCAGGACCACATTAGTGTTGACCTGTCTCTGAAATACACACCTACTGATGGACTCAGAGATGGTTTAAAAGGAAATGTCAAGTTTTACTATGGAAAGAATAAAACCTTAAGTTCCATCCTGGAAAGCTCCACTGAAAGGGTGAGTTTAATTCAACTAAAGGTTTTAATGAAAATATTCTACCAACAGTACCATTTATACAGTGTATAAACACTGCTCAGAGATAACAAAAACATCTCTGTACTATCAACCCTGAGTTCAGCACAAATCCAAAACAGAGTTCCACACTAGCCACTGTGAAGAAAAGTAACTTTATCCACAAACTAGCACAACATGACATTATGGCCTAATCCGGCAGCTGTGTGCTGAGTCATATATGGTTTCTCACCCTGTATGCTAAGGTCTGTGATCACAACATGCCATCATGTACAAGGCATATCAATTCCACAGTGCTGATGTGCACCACATGAAAGTAAGAATAGAACTGCCTTAACTAATTCAGATTTCTCAGGTTTGTCAGCCTGGTTATCTAGGACCAGTTCAGAGCTCTGGAGGTCAAATGAATATAAGGGAAAACTAGTATAACTTTCACAATCTGTTAATTAAAATAAAGACAAAGGTCTGTACTATAAAGATAAATTAACACACAACACTGACTTTGCATTGGTTTGAGTTTTCTTGGGATGGAAAAACTCAAACCATAAATCTCCACAGATGCAAGAGATCAAGTTCTGTAGCTCAAGGTGTTTTATGGACTGCTTATAGTCAAATGTCCTGTGATAGGAGTTTTGGCCTCAAATTTTTGCTTGGAAATCAGAGAATGAGTCACAATCTGTCACCAGCTGAGTTCTATCACTGTAAATTCATGTGGCTGCAGGGTAGTGGAGTGGTAGTCTCTGGATGGAAACCCTCCAGGGCTCACCTGCAGTTGAAGCCAGGAGAAGCCTGGAGGCATTTGGAGATCTAAGGATTTTGTACATCCTGGTTAGTAGGACTATTGCACCTGCAAAATTTCCCCACAGTCATTTAGATGCCTGCAGACTTCTGCTAGTCTCAAGCAGCATCTGAGTCAGCAGTTTAAGATCCTTCAAATGGTGCCAGCTGTGTGATGGTCAGGTGCTAGACCCTTTTACAAACCTCCTACTGGGCACTACTGTTAATGGAGTCACATAAGTACTGCACATAACAGTGGGGTTTGGAAGGCATGTGTTTGTTTAAATTCTTAATTAACTCTTTCACAAGATTTTATTTCAAGTATTAAGGGCAGTAGCTAGTTCCTAGTTTAGAATATGAAATGAAACCACCTGGAGTGGATGTTACAAAAGTATCAGTCGCTGTAGCTAGACTTAAAATGCATGTATGGGTCAAATGACTCATGGATATTTTCTCTCATTAATTTTCATTTTGTGATATTATTTTGGGGGCTTTTGTTCTTAACTGGAACTGTGTCCTTCCTTCTGATAGTCTGGGGGTTTTGTTTTTAATTGGAGCTGTGCCCTTCCTTTTGACAGTCTGAGAATAACAGGGAAGTCATCCGAAAAAAGAGAGAACTTAGTTCTGCTCTGACTACAAACAAAGACAAAACTCCATCTCACCCAGAGTGGGCAGCTTCTGTTATCTATAAAGAATTACTTTTCAATGTTATGAAAGTCAGAAAGCCACTTTTGGTAGACAATGTCCTTAAAGAGAAGAACTTGTTGTCAAATAGATCACAAAGGGCTTGCTGAAATTAGTAAGGGAACAGTTCTATAAAACTGGAAGAACTGAAATTACTTAAGTCTCTTGCTACTTCTTTAGTTTAAATTAGAGAAGGTTTAGTTTTAATCAAACAAGTCTGACGCTCTTCCAAAACACTAGATTGAATGCCATGTTTAAAAGTGCTGCAGTTTCTTTACAAATAAAATAGAACAGATTTTCCTGCTGTGCTGCATACCAGAATGGCACTCTCATCTCTTTTCTTCTTCCTCCATTCAGAACCAAACCTTTCTGTATATAAAAGGAAAGATTCAGCTGGGAAGATTCCAAATTCGGAGTCGTGATGTCCGTCTCTCAGATAGTTTCCTAAATGATTTAAAGTCTCTGCCTGCTGAATATGATAAGGGGGAGTATTTCAAGTTGCTAGAAATTTATGGAACTCACTATGCAGTCTCTGGAACTGTAGGAGGAAAATATGAACTTGTGTACGTGCTGGACAATTACGCTATGTCTCTAAAAGGTATGCATTTTTTTGGCCTTGCTGTGGTAAAAATGCTCTGGCCAAGTCTCCAGGCATCCAAAGAGATGTATGATGATCGATCTGTCTATATATTTATATGGAGCAATACTGAGAATAACAGTGTGTGCTGCTTGTGGCATTACAGAATTACATGAGTTCAACAGATATTAGAGTCAGCCTTTCTAACTGACGGAATTATTTGAAGTCTCTATTTTGAGTCTATAACTTAGAGGGATTAAAAAAAAAAAAACTAAAAAACCCCCAAACCAAACAAACAAAAAACTAAAAACACCTCTTGAAAATAGTAGGAATAGTAGTTGCTGTGACATGATTTAGAAGAGATTCCCAAAGCCTAGAAAATCTGCCTAAACCTTAAATCCAATTTCCTAGTTGGTATTGTTTTGTGTTGCAATCACTCTAAGAGTATGGTGGTGAAAAAAGCAAGGATAAAATTTAAGTACTTCCTAGAAGTCATATGGTGCACTTGAGTGTGTTGAAACTGATTTCATAGCCTTTAACGTTCACACTGGAATTTTCCATGTCCTAGTTAAGATAGGAAAGTAGAAATTTAATTCCTCCCTCATGTGCAGTTCAGAGATATGTGGGTTTGTGCTAGATTAAAGTGATCACTCTTGAATAAAGTTTAAAAAGGCAATTCTCACATGATTTTGGAGATCAGAAAATAAGTACCTGCTGTATGCAGCACCAGCAACAATATTACCACCAGATATTCAGGCTGTGCTAAGGGGCATCAGGTGAAGATGTCACATATCCCACTGTTAGTTTGTTCAGAACCTGGAGACTGTGGTGATAGATTTTATTTTTTTTTAAGTACAAATTTTAACCACAGTTCTTTCTGAACACAAAAGTGAAGTTGCAGATTATATGTTTTGAGTTTATTAAACAGAAAGGAGGTGTTGGAGACAGTACTGGATAGAGGAGGATTAGAATTTATGGGAATAGTGTACTTGTAAGAGATTAGTTGCCTTGATTAACTTTATGGGGAAAATGAATGGAGAAACTTGCTTGAGGTTAGGAGATGGAGACTGGGAGAACTGAATAATTTGGCACATAGGGTAAATGTTAAGCAGATGTGAAAGAAAAAATCTCAATCTAATAAATGGAAAGAATAGTTCCTAGAGGGCCATTTGCTTTCAACTAGATAAGAAAAACAGAAATTCATTTTTAATATTTTCCTAATCACTATAGATCATACCTGCATCTGTGCAGACACTTCAAATACAATCACCCTCACATTCATTTCATGGAAGATGACAAAGCAGAAGATAAATGGGAGGAAGAAACACATAAGCATTTTCAATGACCCCGAAATGTATTCTCTACGAATAATATCACATTATTTATGGTCGTTCAACCTCTCTAATCACCTTTTTCCACTTCCAGGTCTCACTGTAGAAGATGTGAAAAAATGCCTTGGCTATCACTTAGGTGCTGGTATTGTATATTCTAACATTGATGCAGATTTTAATATTGGTGGTGAACAATGTAAAAAGATTCATGTGAGGAAAGGATGTAAGTATGGCCATAATTTACTTTATGTCTTTTGCTCAAGAAAAGATGATACCAGATGCTTCCCCTTTTATAATCAATATAGTTATTGCTTTTAGTAGACCAATATAGGTGAGGCTGACACACTCGCAGGCTCTCGAGACAGCCTGAGAATGTGTTCTGAGCACACACACACACACACACATGAACACATCTACATGATGGATACATACATACACACACATCACTGGCCACACAGGTAAATACAGACAAAAGTATAGCACTCAGGCACCAACGGCTTCATCCTGTTATCTGATCAGGGTGAAAGTCTTTTAGTGGGTAATATCACAGAAACACAGGATGGTGGATGTTGGAACAATTCTTTGGAGGCCACCTTATCCAGCTCGCCAGCTCACACAGTTCATCTAGAGCAGGTGTTCTTCCCAGGCAGCAGAGGCCTCAGAGACTTCAGGCCATCCACAATATACACGGATAGCCAAGACAGATCCCTCTAACAGCTGACATTAGACATTCAATTGAGCCAGCAACTGGATTGTTAGAGTCTCCTAGTACTGACTCACAGATATACAACATGAGTCCCACAGCTTCACTCCCACCACTCAGGTGGCACAGATCACCTGATGCACCCCAACACACGCCCACATACACACTGTGGATGTCTCCAGTAAGTGGCCTTAGTTGCCCAGTCTACCCAGCAGTTGGTGCTTGAATCCTCTTACCTCCAGTTGCCTTAGACAGGTATAGCCTCACGTACAAATAGGTCTCTCAGTCAAATCGGGGACCTTGAGGTCTCTTTCGTATTTGACCTAGACACCCTGGTCACTCCACTAGCCATCTCCTCCACTTGTCTCGCTCTGCATACATAGAATCATAGAATCACAAAATGGTTTTTCAATGAGATCATCTGGTTCTAACACTCCACCATGGGACGGGATTCCACACACTAGATCATGTTGCTCAGGCTCCCATCCAATTTGGCCTTGAACACTTCCACAGATGAGGCATCCACAGTTTCTCTGGACAACCTGTTGCAGTGCCTCACTGCCCTCTGAGGAAAGAACTTTTTCCTATCATTTAATCTAAATCTCTCCTCTTTTAGTTCAAAACCATTCCCATTGTTTTGTCACTATTTAACCATGTAAAATAATCACTCTCCTCTCTTTTAAGCCCCTTCTAAGTACTGGAAGACTGCAATGAGGTCTCCCCAGAGCCTTCTCTTCTCCATGCTGAACAGCCCCAACTCTCTCAGCCTGTCCTCAGAGGAGAGGTGCTGCAGCACTCTGTCCATTTCTGTGGCCCTGCTCTGGGCTTGCTTCAACAGGTCCATATCTTCCTTGTGTTGAGGACCCCTGAGCCAAACACAGGTGGTGTCTCACGTGAGCAGAGCAGAGTGGCAGAATCCCCTTCCTCTTCACGCTGCTTTTGATGCAGCCCAGAACACAACTGGCTTTCTGGGCTCTGAGTGCACATGGCCGGGTCATGTCCAGCCTTTTATCCACCAGCACCCCCAAGTCGTTCTCTGCAGGGTTTCTCTTAATGAGTTCTTTTTATAGTCTGTACTCATGTCTAGCATTTCCCAACCCAGGTGCAGCACCTTGCATTTGGGCTTGTTGAATTTCATGAGGTTTTGGTGGGCCCACTTGTCAAGTTTGTCTGGATCCCTCAGGATGAAATCCCATTCTTCTGTTGTGTCAACTGCACCACTCAGCTTTGTGTAATCTGTAAACTTGCTGAGAGTGCACTTGATCCCACTGTCTATGAGATTGATAGAGATATTAAATAGCACTGGTCCCAAGACATTCCTGAGGGACACCACCCACCACTTGGCTTCCACTCGGACATATAGCCATTGACCACAACCTTCTGGCTGTCTCCATCCATACAATTCCTTACCCACCTCCAAAACCCATATCTCTTCAACTGGGAGATAAGGATGTTGTGTGGGACTGTATCAAAAGCCTTATAGAAGTCTAGGTAGATTACATCAGTTGGTTTTCCCTTCTTTCCCTTGCAGTCACTCCACCATAGAAAGCCATCAGATCTAGGCCAGAGTAACATTTTCTTTGATACCTGGCTCTCAAGCCACTTCCCTGCTAGTCTGGCTTAATACCTTCTAGTGATCACCCATGGCATATCTATCCTCACTTGCTCCAGTTGTTGGCACTACAAACACCAGGTCCCTGTCAATCATTGTTCAACCCTGGGTGCTGGTACACAGATCTCCATAAACATGCAAGCACACAGAATAGAGTCCCCTTGCCCTAGAAAATAGTTAGAAAAGGAGTTTAATGGTAAGTCAGGACAGACTGCAAAGATAAAAGGCAGTACATGGCAAACAAGCTTACTGATCAGTCACCTTTCTATACAGAATCATTTTTACTTTTATGCCTCTATCTTCCCATATTTGTTCCTCCCAAAGTCACCATGGTCACCCCTTACCTCTTCATTGACACTCCTCTAAATATAAGCCAAGTATTTAAGTTTGTGCAATCCCAAAATACCATTCTATGCATCCAGAGAGCCATTCCATTGACTTCTCTTGGTCTTGACTCATCCTCAGCCTCATCCTGCAGTGCTAATGGCTCTGCTGGGACAGACTTTGGAGGAGTCAAGGCAGGGGCTCCCTTTCTCTGATTAGCCTAGTTGTGTTCCCTTGACTGTCACTGTTCCTCTCTGCTCCCTTGTGTGTCTGGAGATGGGTTTTGTTTCACATGACATAAAAATTGCAGAAAGGAAGGAGATTTAATACTGAGTGCAGAAGAGGCTATTAATTTAAGTTCTCTGCTCTCATGTTTGAGTTATGAAGCAAAAGATGTTACTCTTGTATTTGCTGCCCTTTTCTGGTTCTGCTCAGGTGACACAGTAGCATTATGCATATTATCTTCAGCCTGTTGTCAAATGACTATGATCTCCATAATATCTTTCAATTTGTCATATGCCTTCTTTTCCTTTCAGATATAGGGTTTTCTACTTTAATTGCAAAATCCCACATAAAAGGTGGCAGCAAAGAAAGATCTGCTACAACCAGTTAGTGAAGAGTTTTCTCTACAGTCATTTTACAAAGAGGGACTGGTAGAACTAGAGGGACAACTGTGCTTCCAGATGCATGGGCATTAAACACTCTTCTTCTTCACCCTCTCTTTTTTCTTTCTGTAGCTGAACATACTGATGATGCAGTCATTGATGATGCCTTTTCCTTAGTTGAGGGGGGAAAGATTGACTTTTCAGCTAAAATAGAAGAAATGTTACTACGAAGATCAAAAATGGTTGATGTAGAGGATTACGTACAGTGGGCGAAATCTTTGGTTGATGCTCCAATAGTGATACAGCAAAGGGTAAGTACAGCTTATTCAAAGCTGCAGCTTTTACAGTTTTAAAGTTTTGTTCTAAGGTGGGGGCAAGATGCCAAGTTTATCATGAACTTTCAGGTATTTTCTTCATCTCGACAGTTTCTTCAGATGCTTACCCTAGTGATGGTTATATAAAAAGGATTCAGAACTGTGGAAAAGTGTGTTTTGCATGGGCTTTTTTTCTTCTGCAGCATTCTCCAATACATACACTTGTTCCAGTAAAGATGAGAGATGCATATTTAAAGAAACAAAATTTGGAAAGAGCAATTGAAGACTACATTACTGAATACAGTGTGTGCAAATGTGAACCCTGCAAAAATGGAGGCACTGTTGTGCTGGTAGATGGAGCCTGTACATGCCTGTGCTCAAGCTATTTTAAGGGAATTGCTTGTCAAATTCCCAAATCTACATTAATTGAAGGTAAGTACTCCAGATAAACTAAAATGAGAATATTTGTTGTTAACAATATCCTGACAAAAGGAGCCTTCATAAGGACAGAAGTATTTTATAGCACTTCATTATACCTACTGCTGGCAAATCTCGTGGGTATAATGGTGTGGAAGTAGGTGTAAGTTGCGGGGTTCTTTCCATAAAGAGGGTACTCTAATTATAGAGTTCATTGTCCCACATACATTATTGTGTCTGGAATGATGTGAAGTCCCAGTACACAGGAGCATTGTTGAAGCATGATGCAGCAGTGGTAAACTGCTTTCAGGGAGAAAGCAATCCCAGCATGTCTTAAACTATTTTGTCTTCAGTCTTGTGCGAAAGTGGTACATTTGCAAACATATGATCACATTTCAGAATTACTGTGCTAGCTTAATATTTGATTGGGCTACAAAAGGGAAGAGGAAGAAGAATGCAGTTCAGCAACTGACAATGTAAAAAATTTATTGTGCAGTAAATTCATTCTCTATGGCCAGGTTTTCAAAGCACAGGTGATCTGTGCTTTAAAATCTGCAATCTCAAAATGATCCTTAGAACTTGATTCCTAGGATGAAAAATTGTTGAAAGCCTGGGGCTCTTAAACAGCGCCACTGACAAGAGCATTCTCAAAAGCTAAATCTGTGCTTTGGGTTGAGTGCTGCAGGCTGCAATGATCTGCAGAGTCACAATAGCTAAGAATGTAAGAGTTGAATCATGGATTCCTTGAGAGAGGTAGGTGGACTAATCCTAATATTATGGTGTCTTAATACCAGTTATCATTGATGGAGGCTGGAACTGTTGGAGTGCCTGGTCCACCTGTGTCAATGGAGAAAGCACTCGAACTCGCCAGTGTAATAATCCTGAACCAGGACCTGGTGGCAAACCATGCCAGGGAGAAAGCATTGAAAAACGGCCCTGTGAAGGAAATAAATAGCTATGCTCCTCAAAAACAGGTAAGTAGCTTATTTAAATGTGTAATTGAAGTTTATAATAAATGATCAGTAAATACTTGGAGCATTTTAGAGACGTAGTTGACGAAGTGCTGGGTAAGTCCACTTACACCTTTCATTTAAATAATTTAAATCTGTTCTTATACAGCTGATCAGCTACCTTGTGTCAAATTTGAGAAAGGTTAGATTTGTATTTGAATGTTTTGACAAGTAATTTTATATTACAGAACTCAAGATTAGAGTGGATTTCTGGATAAGAACAGACTAAAAATACAATTCCTAAAGACCCAGATTTCATGTCCAGTCAGACTTCCCATCAAACAGTTTATGTTTTAGAGAGAGGGGAAAAGACGTATTTCCCAGAAAAAAAATATTAAGACAGTTCAGGAAACCAAACTCTCTTCCTTGATAAATAGAATACTTAAGTCCAACAAAGCTAGTGTTCTAACAGTTTTGGAACTTTTAGCTTGGAGAAATTTCTTCACCTGCTGAAAACAAGAAGATTGCATATGTGTTCGACAGTAACAGTTCCCATGCCTTGGAGAAAGTGTTTGGGTTTTCTGCTTAACATATTGGTGTAATTTCTTTATCTTCTGGGAAGTCACAAGGAGGAAAGGGGTGGCAAGATAGGGAAAAAATGTTGAATGTTTCTCCAGTGAAAGTCCTTGATGATAATTCTTGCGATATCACCTCAACTTGTACCAAAAACATATAACCGAAGACTTCTTCTATGTCTCCCCGCTCTCAGCTTCAGTACAGTTCAGCTACATCTAATATTTTACTACAACCTGAAGAAAACATGGCCACCAAGGCTTAACACCACTGATAGGCCATCTAGCCCTACATAAGGGAATTGAAAAAAAGGGAATTATAATTATTCATGACACATGCATATTTATGTATTTTTCCTGTGTTATGTCATAGTAAAACCTCTGAAAAAGCAATAATCTAACTTTGGCTTCTGATATTTATATGCCTTCAGCCATGTGGTGTACTCACTCTCCAAGCAGAAGTCTGATAGTTCCATTTTCTGAAAATCACACTGTGTGTTTTGATCCATACTTTATAGAATCACAGAACCACAGAGTGGGTCAGGTTGGAAGAGATCACAGTGGGTCTTCTGGTCCAACTTCCCTGCTCAAGCAAGTCCATCCCAGAGCACATGGGACAGTATTGTGTCCAGCATTCATTAGAATTGTTTTACATTAATCATATTTGAGGTACAGTGAAGTCATGCTCTTGGTGAGCCATAAGACTGCAATTTCTCTTAAATTTTAACCAATAATATGTTGTGGCTACTACCTTCTATCACTTCTTCACTATTTTTTCTTCTTTTTTAGAGAAAAAAAATGGATTTCAAACCAATTCCACCAATCACAGTTTCTGCTGTCCAGCTAGATACCCAAGAGCAGTGGAATGGCATGATGAAAGTACCTGCAGCTTAAATGATCATTAATCAAAACAAAGTAATACACCAATAAACGTATTAACAGTCATATGGTGATACACTGGCTATGGTCAATCTTTTGTTTGTCTGTGGCTGTCATTAGAGCATCTATTCTCCATCTTTGTTAGTCAATGGCAGAATGGTGTCCCTTTACAGCTGTTTTTTCATACTTCTTTGTGGTATGTTTTCAAACTGATTTTCAAGAATTCAAATCCCACATGAGTATCAGAATAACGTATATGATATTCATTATATTAGTAAAGAACCTGTGAGAGTCTTGTCTTCAGCAGAATGCCCTTGTGTATTTATTTCCAGCCCTACATTTTACATCTAATTCACACCATAAATCACCAGCCCGTTTATGAAGACATGCAGCTTTGCTGCTTTCACAAAAGGTTTGCTTAGAAACAGTATTTATGCAAATATATTGAACACAGAACTTCTGCCTTTGCCAAATGCAGCATGAAAATAAGCAACAATTTACAGTCCAGCTATTTTGATTTGATTTTGATTAGCTGGACAAAATTACTTCCAGAGGTCCGTGCTTGCCTGAATTATATTGGAAGGCTGGAATTTGTGTCGGGAGTGAGTTCTCCACTGGAGGTCACTGTTGTGCAGGAAACCGGGAAGGGCACGCAGGAAAAACTCACACGGTATCTGTACCAAGCGCTGAGTGGACTGGTTCCCTTAAGTGAGACCCACCAAACTGCAGGTGGGATGCATCTCACTGTGTGTGACGGAACAGGGGACACATAGCCCATTTATCTCTCATTTGCCAGGTAGCACATTCCAAAAAATGGGATAAAAAGGGGAAAGGGGAGGTTAGCAGAAGAGCCTTGGAAGAAGACATGAGAGGAGGGCAGGAAGGGAGAAATGGGTTTTTTTGAAAGAAACTCTGTATTCTAGTATGATTTTGTGTACACTCTCTGCCTAAGCCAGTTTTACGAAAAGGACTTCCAGCAGATGGAAACCTAATCATGGGTCTCTGCTGTGACTGACAGAGGTACAGATGAATGTATTCTTATTTGACCTAACTTGCACTTCCTTTTGTTTATGGGCTTATATCACAGGCTAATCAGTCACTTTAAAGAAGAAGGTTTTTTTACCAACTTGCTAGCACCTGCTAAGCATCAGGGGTCAGAATTCACTGATAGTCAAAATGAAGTTTTTTTAAAAGCCTAAAGAATAGGGACATAGAAAAGGATGTTAGGCATTATGGAAATACCAGGCAGAAAACCTTCAGAAATTTTTTTTTTTTGAACCATTCTTCTTAAAGCTGCTTGGATTAAACTGTGTTTTCATTTTTAAACTTTATTGTCTTTGATTAAAATTGCTTCTGAAGTTACTTTGTGTTTATACTGGGGCAGCATCTTCTTTGTTGTTGTTATTTAGGCCACATCACTGTCTTTATTACTAGTGTCTGGAATTATACAAAACCATGAAATCATATAAAGGGCTGCATTTATTTTTAATTAAACTTTAACATTCTAGATTGAATGTTTTTCTAGATAACTAAGTCTGAAAATCCCTGAAAATGTGTTGCTTGTACAAGAAAATCCGCAGTAGAGAATGTCAGATTGTCTACATGAGAGAAGTTCTGAGGTTTGGCCAGTTCTGTGACTGGTCAAAAGGTCCAATACACTAAACCTGCCTGTTCCTCTTGCTTTGGCATTTTCTCTTCCTCCTGGTATCAGCAGCTGGGATTGGAGGCGGGGGGGGGGAGGGATGCCAAAGGGAAACCAGCAGATAATCCCCTGCCCAACCCCTTACATGAAGGTATACAGGGAGAAAACTGAAGCATCGTCCTTGAGAAACTTTCCTTCCACTTTTACTGCCTAATATGCCCCTCCTCCAGTTTAGACTCCCTCTCTTCTCCTCTCCCTGGTGCCAGAGCGCTGCTGAGCCATCCCCACGCTTTCAGGTCTGCGCTGGCTCCAGCCAGCTCCGGGTCCCTCCACAACATAGTGAGTCCCAGCACGGAGGCACAGCCAGGGCCCCGTGAGCCGATGGCAGGGGAAGGCAGGGCACAGGCACGGCCACCCCTGAGGGGGACAAGGGGGCTGGGGGGGCGGCCGAGACTGAGGGAGCACAACCTCACTTTGAGGGCGGACTGCCCCATGCTGCCAGAGATACTTTTCCCACACAAACTGCTGGTGCTAAGCTCCCACTCGCCCTGCCCTGCTCCTGCATTTTCCCTCTCTACTCCAATCTGTACTGATTTCCTCTCATACAGAGGTTCTAGCAATTTACTGGCCGGAAATTTCTCTGCTTTCTTGCCAGCATCCTGACTGGCTGGCTTGCCTTACCGAGACAGCCACCAGGTCCTCAGCACACCCCCCTTGCCTCAGACCATAAGGTGGTTGCTGCAAACTCAGCCCTTACAGGTACATGCACATCACCTACAATTTAGCTCATTAAATTGTCTCACCAAGCCACCCGTGGTGATCAGTCGTGGCTCTCAGTGTGGCAGAGCTGTGGGATGTGAGAAGCAATGGTGCTGCGGCCCGCTCTGTGAGCCCCTCAGCCCCTCTCATGTCTGCATCAGGACTCTTCACCACCACAGTGAACGCTGTGCCTTCCACTGTCTATTCTGGTGCCTGTAGAGGGTTTAGTGAAGGCTCAGTGTTCCTGTTTATTCTGTCTGGAGAGTTTTCTGCTGCTGCATGGCATTCAATTCCCCCTGAACTCCTGCTGATGAACCCAGGCAGGCAGAACACGGGAGTGCTGACATGAGCAAAACCCACTGAGCTTGCAGGGCAAAAAGCCTCATTCAAAAGCTTCCTAATTTGAGCCCCCTGTGTGGGTGAGCCCGGCAGGAAAAGGGGCCTGTGACATGGCAGAGGGCACTGAGGGGCAGTGCAGGGGCAGGCACAGAGAAGGGGAGCAGGGCAGTGCAGGTGAGTCACTTGGTAGAACATGACAGTGAATACCTGAATAAGAGCTTTGTATTGAAAGGGAAATTGCTTGAGGTTTGAGCACCCCAAAATATCCTAAGGTCAAGTGTCAAAAATACTGAAGACTTTTGTTTTTTTCTGTGAAAGATTGTTTTTTACATCAGGTGCTTTGCATCAGCTTTAACTGTCTCTGGAAAGGACTGTGAGTTATTACAGTGTGTACACCCCAGCAGAAAACCAGGAGCTTAACACACACCTGACTGTCATACTATGGAGTGCTTTTTTTTACCTTGGGCTTTCTTTCAAGAGAGGCATATGTTCCTCGCAAAGCATAGCCAGAGTAAGGAGGATGCCAGCATTCTCTGACTTCTTTCTTGAATTTGTCAATTCTAACTTTCTATCATATAGAAAAATATAAATATTGGAAACAGATTTCTTCACTCCTCATTCAGGCAAATATAAATATAGCAATAATAGGCAATGGTTATAAGATTATAGAGATTGAATAACAAGAATTTGAAAGAGCCGCAGCATTAACTTGAGGAGCCAGGGAATCCTGCATTTTAGTTGTCCCCAAACAGCATCTGGAAAGGCTGGCTGTTCCCATAAGCATGACAGACACAAGGGAATGCTGTTAATTCAGATATGACCACATCAAATTT